TTTTTTTTTTGAATGTCTGGGACATTAAAAAAATGCGCATAAAGTGAATAGTTGAAATACTATAATAATGGGGAATCAACGATATGTGGCTGTGAACAATCAAAATCAAGAGATTTAATATCTACTGCATCTTTTTCAACCATTTCTTCAAGCTTGTCTGGCCCATAACCTCGACCGCTCTTTTCACATCAGCCCTATCAATGGCACATCGATACATGACGAATTCCTTTGCAATACTGTTCGACGGCGGGACGGTCGTCAAGAGCACTCGCATGGCCACCAAGCGGTCGAAAGCCTGCAAATAATTGACCGCTACTTCAGTATTCTAAGTCGCCCATCATGAATGTAACACTTACGCCGAAGAGAACCTCTCGGCTGCAACGGACCATACCGATGCTGCCTCCTTCAACCTGGACGGGCGCTGACTGTGACGTGCGCACTTGATCACGAAACGCCTCGTGGAGCATTTCAAACGTGAAGCTATCGTGACCTGACCTTTGCGCGTGCATGGCAGCAATGAGCAGGCATATCGCGGGATAAGACAGGGCTACGGATACAGAGTGTGAGCGACATTCTAAGAAAACAAGATGCAGGGCAACGAACAATTAAGAAAGGGAAATCGGGATGGACACCGCTGTGTAGGCACAGACTCCGCGAATTTGGTTGCAGAGAGAAAAGGGGACGTCGGGGACAATTCCAACACCATGGGTGTCTTGGATCGCTGTCAGACGGATATCATAGCAACGTTCCGAAGAACACATACCAAAATTCGGCGGAGCGTCTGAACGTCTCGCGTTAAAGCGAATGTCTCTTGCAGAACTTCAACAACTGCATTTTGCCTCAGAAAGTCGTCGACTGCGGAGACCCACAGCGGGCCCCATTCGTCATCGTCGTCAACATCTAGCGGTGTAGTCAGTATAGCACGAGCGAGTTCTGTCCAATATGACAGTCGTGCCGGACAAGCTGTTCTCAGCATCCGGCCTGAGAACCGGCTCTTGACCCGCTTCTCCAGCAGATTGATGGTATCCACGCGAGTCGTCACCCCGACCACCGCAAGTCCCTTGTGCCCCTTTCCCACTCTACAGCTTTGCGCGGTGTCAAGAAGACAGTATAGGAGCGACTGGCGTGCATGTGTAGCGAATTGGTCGAACGCGTCTATAACGACAATCGTCGCACGCGGCAGAGTTGGCACCATGGAGATGAGTGCCAGCAAGTGCGCAGGTGCTGGCAATGCAATGGCATTCGCAGTGGCATCTGGCGAATCAAGAAAGGGATTCTCCGGGTCCGTAAACGCGCCGTGGACTTCAGCCTCTTCTTCTGCAGGTAAGAACGAGCTACCGGTCTGCTGTGTGAGCTGCCGTGCAATCTCACGTATTGCTTGCCGGTCGTTCTGCTGCGCATGTCCCGACAAACGAATGACGATTGGGTTCTCGGGAACAGAAATTATAGCTTGTTCTATTAACTGTGCACCTCAGCCTGAGCAAGAAGTCACTGAATTCTGAAACACTTACTCTGCTTTTACCGCTTCCACGAGGGCCGATTAGTAGACAGCTATTTCCTTCCCCTCGGACTACTGTACCATTGAGGAGATTGGACAATTGCTCCAAGGCAATGTTGTTGGTTGGAGGACCATCTTCATCTACGGTCACCGGTGTCTCGATATCAGGGATATCACGAAGCGACCTTAAAATAGCGCATTGTTGCGCGCGAAGAGAAGGATGGAGATGAGGAGGGAGCTCTCGTATAGGCCGACTCGGAGAAACAAGTGAATCGGCAGCAAGTCTTCGTTTAGACGGAGAATGCGTCGGGGTAGTCGCGGATCGCGCAGTTTTCTTGGGCGAGACCGGAGGAGACGCAGGTTCTGAGATAAACGGTAGAGGGATGGATACAGGAATTTTACTCGGACTTGGGGAGGCAGGCGCGGTTTGAGCAAGCCGGCGTTTTACAGGCGATACTGGTCGTTTGATAGGAGATGGACTTGGTGGCTGAATGGGCGTATTGAGCAATTCGTGTATCCCGAGTCGATGTCTTCCAGGACGAGGCGTAGGAGACCCGGCGAGGAGACCCTTTGAAGGAGTGACAATCTCAACGCATTGCAAGAATGTACGGGGCGTGGCTATTCGCAATGCAGTCCCTCGAGGGGGTGTGATAGGCGGAGCAACTCGTTTCTTGGACGGCTTGAGAAGCAATTCATCTGGCTCGTCAAAATGGGCGCGATTGCCTCTCCGGTTAGTTGTGATAGGACTAGGGAGCTGAATCCGCGAAGTACTCGGCTCCCCCGGACGCGGCGTTTCTGGTGCATTGTGTCTTACCCGCGTATTTCGAGTTCGTGGATGTGTCTCAGCCTCCGCCACTTGTGTATCTGCTCCTTGCTCGGACTCAGAACCAGACTCTAATGACGTACCGACGCGTTTCCGAGTCGATCGTCGAGTGGCTACTAGGTCTTGTGTATTGCGCACAATCTTGCTGGATCGCGTGGCAGGTTCAGCCATAGCTGACGCTTTTCGTTTCGGAGGCATGGCGAAGATCAATAATTCAGGGGAATGGTGCACGAGGAACGAAGACAGAAAAGCATTGAGGCCGTCGCCCGAATTTTGGTATGACGAACTGTGGCCGCCCCGTGATCTGACGCGTCTCGTCACATCGCGACGCGATTCTGTCACATCACGGCTTCTTGAGCTGAGCCCGAATGTCATCTTATCCTCTGTCCTTCAAGGGCTCAGGTGAGGCTCAATGAACTCATATCGGCTCTCATAGCAGACACTACTGTAAGCATCTTTTGGGAACGAACTTACGATACGATGGGAATCACAGGGTAGGACATCTCTCTCAGGCATTTTGTTTTCGACCCACACTGCACTACTAGACTTGCAAGATGGATCAATGCGCCAACCACTGGCGTTGAGCTCATTCGCCAAAACATCATGTTAAATCACCAAGTATGTTGATTCTCTTGGAATGTGTCGTTTACCTCACCTAAGACCAGGGTGTCCTTCGTGGCAGATGGCAGCTCAGCCTTGGCTCGTACCGTTCGACTCTGGGCAACATTGGGGGTATGCAGATCCCTGAACGTCCCATGTATACATTAACCATGAACGGTGCGTACGTTTCCGAGTTTGCGAAAAAAATATTTACACCGGCATCGCAGAGAACGTTTTCATTGTGCTGGAAGATCCTGCCGCCCCGACCAGGGCTGAAATCGCTCTACCAATGCCGGACGTTCCTCTTGGCAGTCAACCGCAGGCGCCGCCTGCGCCTTCGCACTACAGGAACACGTTGGTGACTGTAAGCCCCCCGGGTGCCCTTGAACAGCTGCTGTCACAACTCCGCGCACGTTGGGTTTCCGTACGACAGCCAAACACTTCCAATAGTGGCCAGAAAGGTCAAGGAGCCGTCGTCCAGCAACTTACTGTCGATGGCCTCATATTTTCCATTGGCAATGACTGGCTTGTTCGCTTCGGACACGTTATCCTCGCTGGTGGTGCGGTACGGGGGATGCTAATTGAGGTGCGTATACTAGTTGGTAAGCAGTCTAGAGTGCGGCCGACCTTTGGTTGTAGGCGGAGTATCTTCCATTGCCCGTACTTCATACAGAAACGGTAGATGGTTCTTCTGAGCTTTTGTCAAATCTCTTGGCCTCCATGCTCCCGATGATTCCAGACGCAAAGATTGTAGGCGTCACTGTCTCTGACGCGGTCTGGGAAGAGGTTCTCGGAGATATAGACGATGGGTTGGAGCAGGTTAAAGAGGTATCAGCAGGCCAAGGTTCGGATGAGGATGATGTTTTTGTATCTCCGGATGATCTGCCGTCTTCGCAGAACGAGGACTGGGTGGGAGTGGATAGAGATCGGAGATCTGCGTACTTGATTATAGGTGCATTGAAACAAGAGGGATTGCTGTAGTTCCAGTCCGAGTGCCACCTCTGAGCTTTAGCTCACAGACTGCCCCCGCTGAATGAATTCCAAGTTTTTGTCGCACATTAGTATCATGCGGTGGTAAGACTGTACCTCATGCCTGAACGTTGGACTCACGGCCGAGTCACCTGGGCGCCAACGGGGTCTTCTTTTATGTGAATACGACTGCGAAGAATGTGCATGCCTCCCAGTTTGTCGTGCTCTCACCGTTCGGCATTGGATTGATTGGTACATCTCCCACCAGCTGGCTGCCACTTGCTTTCTCTTGCCCACTGTCTATAGCTGGGATGCTTCGCGGCTGCAAACCTGGTCGTAGCCTCAAATTCGCAAAGCATGTGCACCTTCCACAGCGCTCCGCTGTCCGCACGCTTTCGACAGCTTTACATTTCTATCAAAACAGACAGTTGGAATTATATGCGACGAAGGAGGCTCAGAGATTGACTCTCAGGCAGCTGGTACCCCTTTCGCACCAGTCACACGTCGTTCGTCTCAGGTTTCCACACGCAGGTTTTCTTTGGGCGCTCCATGAATGAGGACCGTCTTATCAGAGTACGCTCATGGCCCCGTACCTGAACCCTTCTACAATAGTTGCTGTTTTACATTTGTAGAGCGCAAATTATGTCCGGACTGAATTGCCGGTACGCATCGCGCATAGACTGCGGGATATGCAAGCCCTTCCTTATGTAGTGGTCAACCAAGAAGGTGTAGCTGCAGTTTACGAGGTATGTGCATCCTCAGATCTCAAATATCAACCACGAATTCAGGAAAAATGACTAGGCATATTGGGCGGCATTTGACAAGTGCGTAGGCTGTCGTATAATGTTTAGGTAACTAAAACCGGGTTTCTAGATTCAGGCGGTATCCTCCGATCAGCACACTTGAGGAGAATGATGCATTCTGCGGATTCGTTCGCTCTCTGCTAGATGAACAGTTGGTTATTCTTTCCAAATTGCATCTATCTTGACTTAGCTGCACTTTCTTCAGTAAGGCAGTCATTCCGAACTTGTCGCTCGGTCTCTCCTTGTCTTCTCCCTACCTTGACCCTGACCGCCTAGATCCATTTATGCACCGAATGCTTGTCTCACGAATATCACGACGAGTTCTTGCCGAGCACCACATAGCGCTGTCGAAGCATCTCGCGGCCAAACGAAAAGGGCACACAGTCCCTGACGATCGTGTTGGTGTCATTCACCTGGGGCTTTGTGTCAAGGATAGCATAGAAAAATGTGCCAGATTTCTTCGCAGGCGGCCATTCGATGTGGACCAAGACTGCGTTCAGGATGTTGTTCAGGATGTTGCATGGTCAGACGTTATTATAGATGGCCATATGGACACGAAGTTCTCCTATATACAAGCACATCTTGAGTAAATGCCTTTTGTCTTCATTGTGCCGAGCTTACTTTATCCCGTTGTAGGTACATTGTCTTTGAGTTACTGAAGAATGTGAGTTTGACCGATGTTGCGAGGTGTGCTCACATAAGTCTTGTAACTAGTCGTTCCGCGCCACTCGACTACGACATCCGAAAAATCGCCAGCTGCCCCCTATTCGCGCTACTATTGTTGCAGGTGATAATGATGTGACCATCCGCATTTCGGACCAAGGTGTGTTGTCTTATTAATCGGGAGAGCATGTTCAAACGACTTTCAATAGGCGGAGGACTCCTTACACCTGGGATCAAGCACCCTTCTGACCTGTTCTCGTTCTCGCATGTTCGAAATCCTGCCCGTTTGGACGTGTCTCGCCTAGGGGCCCTCCGGATAGTCAGCTCGAGTGGCCGTGGCATGACCGCTACGGTCGACGAACAGCTGGATGTTATGCGAAATAGCACGGAAGTTGAAGATCCCCAACAAAATGCAGGCGTGAGCCCACATCCCAGGATCGGAATTGGGCTCCCAATGAGCAATATTTTTGCGACGTACGAATGAACGGACTTGTCGTGTGAGGGCTCATGAATCTGACGATCGCGTAGATATTTTGGTGGCTCGCTAGAGCTTGTCAGTCTAGATGGTTACGGTCAGTGGATACGAGTCCTGAGGATAATCATACACACGCTGACATGGTAACAAAGGGACTGATGTATATCTCAGGCTGCCCAAATTGGTGCGTCTCACAATGAGGGTATGTTTAGGCGACACTTAAATCTGGATTGTTTTAGGGTACTAGCCTAGAAGGAATCGAGTTATAATACTGGAGCGGTCGTTGCTGTAGCACATAGGCTGCCCAGATATGATGTATGGATCTGGATGTTAATGACGATGCCGGGCCTATGCTCGTCTCTCGATGTTCGCATCATGTTTCCCAATCTGTTTGAGAAATATTCTCGCCGCCCATGTTTATAACTCATACGGCGCAGAATATCCGAAGTTGAAGGTGGGGTCGACAGAGATGAAGAATTAGTGTATCGTTGTGCCAGTTACCCACGGCGGGAGCATTCTTACCATCTTGGATCGCAACGAGCCGATCAGTCACGTGCACAGGCTATAACCTAGAATGAGCGCTAAGCTACAGCAGTTTCGTTTTGCAGCTTGCGTTCCGCCCCAATGGCAACCAACTCATCTGCCAGCTCGCAAGCCCCCTCGCGCCCCTCCTTGCAGGGCTCACAGTCCTCCTCCAGCATCTCCAGCGCACAGTCGTCTGGCTCGAGCAACAAGCCAGCGGACTATGTCTACTTCGAACGAACAACTGCCGGGTTCTCGGATGATGCGGTGCCTCGTGCAAAGACCGCACAGCTGAAACTAGAACATTTCTACAAGGTTGCTGTAGATGCTGCAATCGAACGTAACACAAGGTGTGTGTACTGATTAGTGTGCAGCAATGGTCGTAGTGACCATTGGTCCAAGACGCGTCGAGCTAGAACGGAAGTTGGCTGCCGAAACAACCATGACCGATGAACGTAAACAGCGCCAGCTTCAGCAATTGGGAAAGCGAGAGTCTGCGTTCTTGCGGCTACGGAGAACGAGACTTGGCCTCGATGATTTCAGGACAGTGAAGGTTATCGGGAAGGGTGCCTTCGGAGAGGTATGGCTCATCGGCTAGCGCCGTTCTGCGCGCTGTGATCCATGATCCGACAGACCCCCACAGGTTCGCGTGGTGCAAAAGACAGATACAGGTAAAATATATGCGATGAAGACCCTCCGGAAGGATGAGATGTTGAAGAAAGATCAGGTATGTCACTGAGATTACCGTCTGTCATATCGGGACTCAACTACGTGATAGCTTGCACATGTACGCGCGGAGCGCGATGTCCTTGCGGAGTCAAATTCGCCATGGGTCGTCCAGCTTTATTATTCGTTCCAAGATTCCGCATACCTCTACCTTATCATGGAGTTCCTTCCTGGAGGTGATCTTATGACTATGCTGATCAAGTACGATACCTTCTCGGAAGACGTCACGCGCTTCTACATAGCAGAATGTGTACTTGCCATAGAGGCTGTGCATTCATTAGGATTCATTCATCGGTACGTCGATATCGGGTTCGCTTAGCATACTAACTCACAACGTATTGCTCGCAGTGATATCAAACCAGACAACATTCTCATAGACAAAGACGGCCACATCAAGTTGTCCGACTTCGGACTCTCTACGGGGTTCCATAAACAGCACGATTCAAGCTACTATCAACGCTTACTGGACTCCGCTAATGGTGTCGCATCACCCACTACAGCAGCGCGCAACAGTGTGATGGTGAACGCAATCCATTTGACCATGTCCAGCAAAGACCAAATCGCAACGTGGAAAGCAAACCGCCGGAAGCTCGTGCGTCTTCTCATCCTTTGTTTCGTACTACATTGCTGAGATACCCACTATCATGTTTGTCGATGATCCCAATGAACCAGGCATACTCGACTGTCGGTACGCCGGATTATATTGCACCGGAAATCTTCCTGCAGAAGGGCTACGGCAACGAGTGCGATTGGTGGTCGCTCGGTGCAATCATGTTCGAGTGTCTCGTCGGGTACCCGCCCTTCTGCTCAGAGTCGACGCACGAGACGTATCACAAGATCCTCCAGTGGCCAAATTATCTTATGTTCCCCGACGACGTGCACCTCAGCCGGGAGGCAGAAGACTTGATCAGAAGGTATGTGTAGCGGAGAACGTGCCGCTAAGCGACCCTCAGCTCACTGGTCTCTAGATTGATAACATCGCCCGATCGTCGGTTGGCCGTAGAACAGATCAAGCACCATCCGTTCTTCTATGGAGTGAGCTGGACAGGTATTAGGAACATCGAGGCACCGTTCATCCCCCGCCTACGGTCTATCACGGATACATCATACTTCCCGACAGAAGAGTTGGAGCAAGTTCCAGAGGAACCCGTCGGTGCCGATACTACAGGCGCGAGCAAGGATCTTGCGTTCTTAGGGTATGTTTATTGTATTGATCACAATTAGGTTGCGATGGCTAATGGCTAAATTTCTTCTACAGATACACGTTCAAACGATTCGCGATTTCCTCTCAGGGTTTCTGATGTTTTCGGTTTCTGGCGGTTTTGCGTTCGTTGGCCCGCGGGATAGCGTCAACCTGTGTAATATATAGCTTCACGCACATTCGCTCATGCAATATCACGACATCCACGAAGCGAAACTTCGCAACGGAGGGAGCAGATCAGAACATGCACATCATTAAAGCAATTACAAAGTCCGTGAAAAATTGATACCAGTACAGCATTTGCAGCACAATTGTCCTACTAGTTCTCATTGCTACAATAGAATCCTGTCTAACAATTGTGGATACTTTACATTAAACGACCGTGTCCTATACACATCCTTTACTATGTCCGCAATTGCGGTTTCATCTGCAATCAAGGTAAGCTGCTAATATTTAGATACGACAAGACTGAACGTACCATTTCAACAAAAATGGGGAGTAACTGTGGAATGTGATGTAGCTCAGGCGGTTTGATCGCAGCAGATTTCTTCTTCTGCAACGACTTGGGCTTGGGAGGCGATCCTTGTCGCGGGGGTGCGGACTTGGGCGATGAACGTGGTGGAGAAGGTTGTGCTTTGCCCACTTCCATAGAGCGAGAGTGACGTAAGTTCATGGAAGGACGGTCTGCAGGAGGGTCTGGCAAAGGCTTCTCGCTCCGGCGCGGAGGATCCGGTGGCGGGCGACGTGCATGCGGAGAGTGAGCTATCGTATGAGAGCGCTTCACCGACGCTGGAGACGTTGGTAGACGAGGCGTAGTTTCCCTTTCAACAAATTCGCCTTGCCCGCTGCCGCCACTCGCAGTGTCGTCAGACTCACTGTCGGAATATTCCCCGGTTGAGTCGCTATCATCGTCCGAGTCGGTCTCCTCAGCGGCGAGGTCGTCCGCACCGCCTTGAATCAGCTCGCCGAAACTCAGATCCTTGACAATCCCATTCACCATATCGGCCGCGATCTCGTCTTCTGCGTCGGCATCACTCATGCCCTGTGTTCTTCCAAATCGCCTGCGAACTTTGTCCTCATACGCCACTTTGAGCTTGTAGTGGTATAAAGCGATCGCATCCACTTCTTTCAGGATCTCCTCCCGCTCTTTCCCAGTATGAGGCAGGATAAACTCCATGCTAATGCGATCGCCAACGCCATCGCGCATGAGAGTGAGGAAGAGTTCAATCCATCGCATAAGGTTGGTGAAAAGGCCTTCGCCCTTTGAGTGCACCTTGTGAACGAAATTATAGAACGACTGCTCGTGTCGTTTGATGAGATCAATGAAGATCTGTACAGTCTTCGCGGGATCCTGCTGGCTCACTTCGTGAAAAAAAAACCCCCGCGTAAGTGATCTCCACGTCTATAATGAGTGTCGACTGATATACGCACGATCTTCTGACGCTTCCACGGTGCGGATTAAATCATTTATGAAATTCTGGAGATCGCCCAAGGAGTCCGCTATACTGGCCGCTCGATATACCTGAGCCAGCGGTGCATAAAATATGGTAATAATATCTTTCAATAAATCTGCGGTGGTGCCCTTCGAGTATATCATGTACATCAATATGCATGGCCAATTAGAAATCTGGTCAACTTACCTCAAAAATCAGCTCGATCAGCTGTTCCCTATCTCTCAAGCGCGAGTACAACTTCGCCAGTACGTCGAGATCTTCGAACAGCCACGCTTCCTCGCTCTGAGGACCTGAGTCGTCATCCGAGTCTTGAAGAGACTCTAGGTATCGGAGATACTCTTTGTGTGCCCGGTGCGCGTACATGACACGCTGAATCTGAGCACGAGAAAGCACGGGCGCCTCGCCTGAGCGCAGGACGATCGCGAATATATGCAAGTTCTCTGCAGCTAACAATCACACACACTTCAGAAAGCCCTTGTAAATAAATCATCGAACAACACACCAGCATCCGCTTTGTATACTGATTGTATCTCACGGGGTGCGTAAACAAATTGACGGATCTTCTCGCATATTATAGGATCGTCGATCTTCTCCTTCACATGGTCGACGTCTTCCTCAATTGCTTTGACTTCTTCGACAAGTGATCCTGTGAACATTCTGTGAAGGTATTAACATGAAAATTATCGTGTCAATCGGAGGCTATACCTTTGTAACAGACTGCGCCCTCCAAAAGGCGTTGCGAGGAATAGATCCAGAACGCCTGTCCACAAACGACGAATGCAGATACTACTGAGCATGACCGGGAGAAGTGAACTATATGACTTACCACGGATCATAGCCATGGGATTGCTGATTTTGAGTATAGTTTTGAGCATGAAGTAGGGCATAAGCCCATGTATGCGCTTTAACCCAGCGAAACTCTCGGATGCACTGTCCGCGGCAACGAACTGGTGGAACACAGTGGATGCGAGGCTACCGGATGAAATGTCTTTGTCAGTTTGAGATTACTACTGCAGACTCTTGCATGTGTGGCGACGTACGAAATGCGCGCCCACTCAACAACAGCTTGGTAGTTCGGAGGAAGTTTGCGGATGTCTTCTGTCACTTTGATGGTGGCGAATATATGCGTAAGCCCATCTGCGTGCGGACAGTACACATTAGAAGATTCGCCTATGAGTGAATATTTCACATGTTTTCGCACTGACCTTTAGCAAATAGCTCGCCCTTGACGCTTCGGGCAGCATTACGCAAACCATCCACCCGCGCAGCAATTTCCTTAGCGAACCGCTTGCGTCCATCATCCCTTACTTTATCCGCCTCCTCTCGCCTCTTGGTATCTTCAAGCTCTTCTGGTTTAAGTGTCGTTGGTGCGGACAGGAGGAAGGAGCGCAAAACAGGAGATGAAGCAAGCGTGGGCAATGTGAGAAGCGTGTGTAAGTATGCGCGTAACGTAAGCCTGTTCTTTTCTCGGGCAAGCCGAGACGCGCCACTCGTGTATGTCTGACCGTTCGTAGAGCCGAATGACATATTCGGCGAAGTCGGACTCATCGTGCCCAGTGATGAGAACGAGTCTCCGCTTTCATTCCTCCCTGCGACGTATATGCCCGGCATGGGGCTCGTAGGCTGAGAATGAGGAGGAGACGTGCTCAGATTTACAGTGGAACGATCCTTCGCCGGCGGTGAGGGTATTGACTCTTCCGGGTGCATCTTCCGCAACTCCGCCGCAAGCGTCTTGAAATCACCGTACCGCCGCGACACAAAGACATCCTTCTGGTGTGATCGTCGGGTGCGGATGATGAATTCCTATCATGAAACAGGGATGAGCGTAGAAAGAGCTGTAAACACAGATACGCACTTCGTGTACCCGACTACGCATTCGCCCCTTCTGTTGTACCGTTCGCACGCAGACAATGTTGACTTCAAACATATTTCTTCCGCCCCGCTCTCGGGAAGCCCGCTTTTTTGCAAGCGTTTCTAACTTGTCGAGGTCTGCCTGGGATAGCCGGACCACTTCCTCCTCCTCGACGAGCCGTGTACCGCTTGTCATCAGCATCGCCGCATTCCGCTCGAACTTTGCCACAAGCTTATTGCGCGCAGCCTCCTCTGCATCTTCCTCTTCATCATCGAGGACAGATGTCGATGTAAGGTTTCGGGAAATGAGCGAGGAGAGGAAGGGCTGTAGCTTGTCAGGAAAAAAGTCTCGGGGTGCTGCGGCCAGAAAGGGAAAGGAAAGCACGAAGCGACGGAAACAGTAGCGCAGGAAAGGGAGCTCTATGTTTGGAGCATCCTTTGGTGGCGGGTTAAATGGCGATCCAAGGTAAGAGAACGGAGACACATTGTTTGTGGGTGCGGCAATGAGAGCGTCGACTTCACGCTCAAATTGCAAAGTGACGAGCTGCTTTTTCAGGTAATGTGTTCGAAGGGGAGTGAGGGTAGTCAGATCGGTTGTAGTAGATTCTTTAGTAGGCGATAAATGCTGTGCTTGCTCATCCGAAGGTGTATCGTCCGTAGGAACAGGGGCCGAGTAAGCAGCGGGAGACGAGAGGGGCGTCGCGAAAGCCTGATCGGGAGAGCCAGGGACGTCAATAGCGAGGAGAGGAGACTCTGTCCCGCCCTCTATCGAAGTGCTAGCCATTGACGGAACGATGAGCACAGTCAAAGCGAGAGCGATGAGCGGACAGAGGCCGACGATGAGCACGATAGGCCCGAGTTGGCGCTTACGACTATCCGCACGCTCGTGATGCGGGTCCGAGCCGGTCCGTGACGTCACAGCCGTTTTTCAATAAACGACCGGTTAAAAATGAATTCTCCCACTTTGGCAGGTGTAGTGTTAGATAGGCGCCCAAAGAATTGCCAGTGAGACGTCCGAATCATTCAGCTGCACCGCTCAGTTGGGGAACTGTGGTTTGCGCATTCTCCCTCGTCAGCGTGATACTTGTCACAATTTTCAGCCCGTTCTGTCTTGATGTCGACTGACTGGTCTCGTTGAACCAACCAATGTTCATTTGGGCGCTGCTTCTCATCGAACATGCATGGCTTGCGTACTTGCTGACGATCATGTCTGTAAGCGAACGACGGTAGAGAAATATAATTGTAGCAGCCGTACAACTAGCCTCGTGACGCGGGCGGAGTAGAGAAAGGCGGCCAGAAATGGAAGAAAAAGAGGGCGATCAGCGGAGAGGGAGACGATCGCGCGCGGGTAGCAGTCCGTATTCGCACAGTTATTGGCCTAGTTTGTCACTCACGGCACATACACCCGACCGCCCCGGTATGTCTTCCCGTTCTCATCCAACAGGCTTTTAAGACGGGCTGCAACGTCCCTTATACTGTCTCGTCCAGCCTCCATCTCCCGCCATTGCCCTGCCACCGTCCAACATTCCGAACATGCCTTGCTCGCCTCATTGACCGTGTCCAATTCCAATTCCCCCCGCTTATGCAACGCGACGACCAGGTCAATCAGCCGGCCGAATCCTATGCGCCAGCTTGACAACCCCCGCTCCGTGTCCATGGTTGTGTCGGTAATCAAATAGGAGGAAGACAGCCCAATGCACTGACGCAACAGTCGCTGGTCTATGGACCCTGCGGCGCGTGTCATGGACGGGAGTATTTGCAATACAAAGGCTCCATAGTCGGTCGCGGGCGAGCGGGTCGATGCTGAGCCCGATGTGGAGGCCGCAGGCTGAGAATACACTCAGCTCGATGCGATGCACAATGGGCAATGTGCCGCTTGACGTACCTGTGTGCGCACTCCGCTACCTGCCATTGAGTAAGCTATGCGTCGCCCGGATCGAGCGCGAGGTCGATCTGCTTCAAGCACCAGGAAATTGACATGAAGACGCATGTAGTTGAGAGCTTGCAGGACATGTGGGCGGTAAATGAGTCGCTCACCCTGGTAAGGACCAGCACCGCGCTGAGCCCGCAGTCAAATCTCCTAGAGCACCCGGTACGGATGTCGTGTAAGCTTATCAGCTCACTCACCCTCGCTCCGTATCCGTGAACAACCCCAATCTCCGGACTCCGGGCGCGCGGCGTTGGACGCCCATTCATCCATGGTCTCACGTGAGATAGACGCCTATCGCCAGCGCGCCCTGGCGTCTAAGCAGAACCACGCTCACGACGAGAAGCCGCGGGGGAAGACATGGCCTCTCTTCTCCTAAAATACATCTCGCCCCCGCAGGTGGACCTCTCGCCCGACTATGATGGGCTAGAATACCGATGGAAGGGATTGACTTTCCGACCAGCTTGTAGGCTTATTTCCTCATTATGTGCGGCCAAGGACTTATCTCCAATGTCATCCAGTCTTCCAGCTCGAGCCGTTTCTCCTGGCAGGAGTCGTTGTGTATGCTCTTTTATACATATGGGGGAAGAGGTCGAATGAGGCCCGGGTGACCAAATGGTGAGCATGATCCACGGGGGTATTATATATCCGGGTGCGTTAACATGAGTGCGTATATGCAGGTATGAGACACACCTGCCCATTCTTCAAGCCCAGTTCTCCAAACCGACCGCCCAGGATCTCATTCGAGGTATGTCACGGCCTGTCAGCATTGCTCCATAATACAGTGCTTGGGGAATATGTCGCTCGCATCTATACTAAACCTGTTCTGCCTCGCTTGGCCTTTGAGCAATCGACGTGAAGCTCTTTCTCTGACACTTTTTTTTTACCCAGATGGAAACTCTGATTGGTTCATATTTTCTACCGGACGTCGCGCGTTGACCTCGTTGCACACCACGTTCACCATTCGACCGAGGCACGATCTACTTCAGTATCTTTTCCAGGTGGGCCGAGGCCTCATTGAGCTCGACTACCAACCATACGACGAGGTCGAACTCGACTTCACCTTCAGGGACATGCCTGGCAAGGAGAACGCAGTTCCTGATTGCGTGTGGGCAATCGTAGCGAAGGACGAAATCAAGGGCATCAAGAGCAAGAGATGGGATTTGGTATGTCCAGATACCTCAGTATCGGGTTGTTTGTGACAACGCATCCTTCGTTACAGAGCTTTGCCAAGACGGCTGACCTGTCGAGCTTACCACCCTCGCTTACCGTCATGTCAGGTAAGCTGCGCCGCGCACCCAGGGATTGCTCCTAACCCGGACCAATGCAGAGTTCGCCGACGTCACCACCACCTTGCTCAAGCCCATCGGCTCGCTCGACCTGCCCGCGGTCCTTTCCAACCCCTCGATTCTGCCCTACTTCCGCTCTCTCTCGCTCACCGACCAGCCGCGCAGGCGCCCCGCGCTCCCTACGCCTGCCGCCGAGCGCACGAGGCATCTCATCCTTTCGCTCGCGCTCCCCCCGTCCTCGGACGCCGCTGCGACGATTCCGCTCTTGACTGCTGCGCTCCAGCTCGTCGATGTGATAGCCGGCGAGGGTAAGAATACTCTCCGTGGCGGGTTGAACACGCAACTGCGTCCGGAGACGCGAGTGAAACTCAAAAAGAAGCGTGAGGAAGTAGACAAGGAGATCAGAGACGACGCTGCGAAGGAGAAACGCGAGGAACAAGCGGAGGAGAAGGCTGCAGCGAAGAAGAAAGCCGAGCAGGAGAAGCTGTCCAGGCTGAGTGCTGCGGAGCAGAAAAAGGTGGGTTGTACAGAATGCTTTAAGTGGTGAGGTGAAACTAATCTCACCCGTTCTGCGTCGCAGGCTCTGGAGCGCGAGAAGAAGCGCGCAATGCGTAAAACACAGGGCAGAGTCAAGATGCGGTGATACATTGTTTATTTGCTTCGTCCTTGTGGCTGTCTTGGTTTACAACACAAAAGGGGGCACCATGGAGTGTAAAAATTCATTATGCCTAATGCTATATCGTTCACTGTTTCCAAGCTGTAGTGACAATATCGTTCGCCAGTTGGACATTCACAATATAGCACTTCGGCACTGTACAACGCTGTGGACCCACATCTTCAGAGCATTACGGAAGAGATGTAAACGAGAGAAGCTATGCGTGATGTAAGTAGAAGGCAGGAATAGACGTCAGGTAGAAAGCACCAAATGGATCTGCTAATACACTAAGTGAACGGAGGTAGATGCCTACAAGACACCGTAATGCACACAAGGAAAGCCGAAAATATAATGGCTCATAAGTGTCCGCTAGGTGCTTCGAAAGAATAGAGAGATATCATGAGAAGGAAGGAAAGTCGTGGCGTGTCGTGTCGTAAGGTTAAATGCGCAACAGAACATGTCAAATAAATACCAATATCAGTCCAAGAGACGAGGGATCGTAACATTCACCACCCTCGACCACGACAGGAGCGGTGGATGGGTAGCCATTCGTCTACAAGATACTTGGCCACTTGAGCCGCAAACCTTCTAGCCAGCGCACATACAATAGCTCGGCGATGGGGGATTTGCGCGGCGGAGAACCGGCGTCGGGGCGGTCTTCAGTGGTTGGGGTAGGAGAGGATGACGACGGCAAGCCGGAGATTTCCTCTTCTTCAGTGACGACGAGACCCTTTGCGGTCATCTCGCTCTTGCGGATGATCCGTCTGTGAGGGAAGAGTCCACGGGCCGTCTGAATATGCTGGCGCACCGCCGCGTTCCTAACAAACGGTAAGAACATACGAGGAAGGGTGCCATAGACGACGTACTCGTTTATGCCAGCAAGGAGGTCGAGGACAATATTGTACGCCAATTCGGGATTGACGTCTCTCAGCTCTTCGAAGCCCCTCGAGATCATACTTATTGATTCAATCTCTCGGGCATCCATATCATCTCGTGTCGTCTTTCGGACCAAGCATCAAAAATTATCAGAGGGTATCATAAGTAGGAGATAGAGTGCCTACCTTCGATAACAACGGCAACAAAACTTCGTCAATCAGTGATTTACCAGCCTTTACTGCTTCACTCGCAGCCTTTTTATGCTGCGATTTCACGCTTTGTGGAGAAGGGGGACTGGACGGACCACTGTCTTTGCTGCGCGTCGTTCCAACATACTCCGTCGACATCCGGAGGGACCTGATTGTGTCCACCTTCTTGACTGGCCTGATAGTGTCTATACCATTTCCCAGGTCAGCTTCTCCAAGTACAGTCCCGATGGCCATGTTATTCCGAGCTTGGAAAGAAGCTCGCCGTGTCGAGCGAACAGAGCCTGTGTATGCTGGAGGGGGCTCGGATGTCTCCTGCGGGGGGGTTTCAGGCGCTAGACTTCCTGCAGTTTCATCTGAAGCCTCATCCGTAAGTAATGATGGGGTGTTCTTCTCGTCCGTTGGCGACAACTGTCGAATGATAACCGTTGAGTGCGAGGCATCCACGTTCAAGCCAATTCCAGCACCACCCACTAGAGGAATGTCGCTCCCCCTCGTGGTCGCAGCAGCTGTGTCAAAAGATCCTTCGTTGTCGTACACAGACGGGTCATCGTCGTCATAGTCCTCTTCATCTGGGATCATCTCCGGGGGCATGATGTCCTTTGCCATGCTGCGCAAAGAACCCATCGCCGACGTTGACCGCATCGTGTCAAAACTCCAGTCACTCCGCAGCGTCCCGTCCCACACTCCGCTGTTACGCACTGTCGCCTGGTACATCTGTGGAGCCTTTCCAGGGGTGCGTGCCCGAAAGTCCTGGAAACGTTCGATCAATTCTGTCAAGTACGAGGTCTTCCGCGCACTCTTGATGAATCTGTGCTGCAGTAACTCCTTCGCCGTCGGCCTCTAAAGTGTGATCATTAGTGTCAACAACACCTCCCAGAATCTGAGTACGCACCGATGGAGGATCTTTCGTCAAACACTGCGCCACGAAATCCTTGAATGCGACAGAGAAGGCACCCTCCAAAACTGGAGGCTTTGCCTTCGGGATCAAAAATAAGACTCTCATCGGATGGTACTCGGCCAGCGGCGGTTCTCCTTTTGCCATCTCAATCGCTGTGATACCCAAGCTCCAGATGTCCGCCTTCGCGTCGTATCCCGCTTGCCTGATGACCTCGGGTGCCATCCAAAACGGCGTACCAACGAAGGTGTGCCGCAACGTGCTCGTCAACTGCGCCGCCACACCAAAATCCGCCAATTTCACCTTCCCTGATGCAGACAAAAGCACGTTGGCGGCTTTGATGTCTCGGTGAATTGTACCTTCGTCATGCATATACTCGAGGCCCTGCAGTAGCTCCTTGCAAATCACCGCGATATGCGCCTCGGAGAACACACCCGGTTTGAGGAGGTCCAAGCACGACCCCCCTGCGAGGTACTCCATCACAATCCACAGCTTGTACGCGACAACGAACGAGCCGTAATAACGCGTAACGTACTCCGAGTCGAATTGCGCCAGATTTGCGATTTCCTGCTGAATCTCTGAGATGTCGTCGTCCGAATCTTCCAGGTCTGCGGTCACCAGCCCTCAGTCTGATATAGGTTCTACGCCGGATACTCAGAGCCACTCACCAATTTGCTTGATAGCCACGATCTGCTTTGTCTCATTGTGCATTGCCTTGTACACCGTCCCGAAGCTGCCCGTCCCAAGCTTCTCGAGAAGGGTATACTGACTCGCTGGGTTGCTGCTCGGGATAGGACATGGCTCTTGAGTACGCTTGAGCTCGCGCGGAGATGGCGGCGGAGATTTAGTCAGCTGCCTGTGCTGTGAACCGTGTCCATTGTCAGAAATGCTCGACCTTCGGAGCAGACGGGAGTTGGAGACGACGCGCTGCATAGTGGGCAGCGCAGGGCGGGGAGGATCACAGCAATGCCAGTGGAGTGTGGTGCTCCTCTAGAGCGCACGTGGGTGTTCCATGAGGTGCATGGAGACAAAGAGGGAGGATGCAACTCGCATGACTTTATCTGCGGACACGCGCCGGACTAGAATCAAGCGGACATGAGGAATATTACACACCATGTTCATCAACGTCGTAGATTAGATTCGTAAACGGATACGGTTTTCTCTGGCAGATGGATGTGAAATGGATCCGTTCAAGGGTCAAACCGAGAGTCGCCGTGGACAAGGCGTGCTGGAGATCCGGCAGAGAAGTGATGGATTGCTACGAGACACGAGTAGTAGAGCCGAGGTTTCGTCGCCAGAGCAGCCGCAGTAGGGGTATTTAAATAAGCAGGCAACGACGAGCAAGTGCCAGTGAACGACGGGGACCGTGGCGATGACGGCGACGACGATAGGGAAGAGAGAGAAAGAGAAAGAGGAGAGGCGATGACGTGAAGACGGCGGGAACAAAGCTGGTGTATTTGACGTTCGGGCCGACGCGCCACCGGCCATGCGTGTCTGTGAGCGTTGCGGCCGTTGCTGCAGACTCGCGTTTCTGGCCAAAATAGCTTCCGCCG